ACATATATCTAAGAAAAACAAAGAGAATGCTGAAGAACATCGCAAGTTCGAAATAATACATATATATCTTTCCCTTTTAACAATGAAATTGTTAAATGTATTATTTTCTTACATATTTTCTTTTCTTTCGACGAATACCAATTCGTATTTTGTTATAAATATGAGCAATTTTATTATTTTGTATAAAAATCTAGAAATCATATGTATTCCTTATACAATAGATATCCATCAATACTACTTTTTCAACCAAAGATATAAAATTTGTTAATACTTATCATCTCTGGTGACATACGTTTAACAGCTCAACAATTGAGGAAAATTATCCCATATCTATTATATTGTGGGACATTATCTTTTGTTGCGTTTAATTATAGTATTACAATTTTTAAACAAATATATACTTTAGAGGTCCCAAAACTTTGTCCATCATTTATAATTATATTGTTTTTCTTTTTCCTTTCACGCTATATGTTCAGTTAACTGGCACACATACGTGTTATAAATGCTAACTATAAAGCTAGCACCCTGCTAATAAATGTATCTTGTATTATACAATTAAATATTTTTTTTTTCCATTCCAAGATCAATAATATGGGTTCTTAATATAAAGGATGTGATATCTGAATCTTTATAAACGGCTATATAGTAGCAATGACTGTTGACACAAAAAAGTATGACAAATAGAGACTACGTATATGAAGTCTTATCACATCCATATTCACTTTGGCGATAATCAAATTATATATTCGAATAGATTTTCTATTTTTTTTCCTTTTGTCTCTTCTATTGCGATCGTACGTGTACCGCAGTACAAATTCTTTAATTATTTATTTTATATATACCATCGCATTATAAGAAGTACTGAATGTTCGTGTAGAAATTCTAGTACTCTACTCACATTAAAATTCTGAGGATATTTGTCCATGTTACTGAGAAAGAACGGAGATTATAACAACGGGCGTTCTAACAAAATATTCGGACCTAACTTGTGGAGACAACCGGAGTCTGGCAGTACGGGCACTCACGTTGATTTGGAGCGCACGTCGAGCAGACCACGTAGTGGTTACAGGGTGAGAGGGTAACAGTGCGATTTTGTTCTTCGCAAACCATGCACTTTGTTGCCGTTTCTCTGTACAGCACCTGGAACGGCAACGACTGAGCTACCTATAGTGTTTCCATTAATCAAACCGGTCGCAAGTATTAGATTTGAACGATTATCAGAAAAATTCTTGATTGCCAATTGAAACGTTTAATCAATAGAAGAAAACTGTTTGATGAAGATGAGGTAGTTGCGGAATTTAATTTTGTTCTCGCATCCTCTTCAGATAAACTAATAATTAGTTCGAGAATCGCTTGATATACCAGCTGTTCAAACCGGCGTGACAACTTTGTTTTACCTTTTCTACTTCTTCGAGATCCGAACGGAGCTGTGATTGAATTGATTTTAATGCAGCTATCGATAATGATCTGAGTTCGCTTGTTCTTCTCAGTGTATGAAGGTACGGGCCTCCACTAGACACTTCATTTTCTACCCTTAATGCTTTCACTTGTAACAAGGCCTGTTAACAATTTTACATTCCCAACCTTTACGAATACAGTTCTCAGAAAATAAAAATAAACAGTAATGATAAATAATATGGTAACAATAATATACATGTGTTAAAATTGTACATTTAAATGATGATAAAATAACTGATGGGAATACCTACCTCGTCTCTCTGCTGCTCGGCAATACTCGCTTTTCTTTTAGCTTCCTCACTTTCTAATTGCCATGCAGCGCAAGCAGCTCTGGCTTGATTAATGCGTTCATCCCATGTTGCTAGTTGGGCACGGCTTGATGTCAATTCCTCTCTGAGCCTTTGCACCTACAATAAATCAATTTAGAGACATTGACACCGTTTTAAGCTATATTTTCATTTGCAAACCAACAACGCTCAATTAAAAACTGGGGGAGTTCTAACCTCAGACAAAGATCCTGTGTTACTTGGACTAATGGAAAATGCATTGACCAATGGAGATGCTGGGAGAGGTTGAGTACGAGATGGAGACATTCCTTGATTTGTAAAATCAAACAAGCTACTATTAAATCCACTAAGTTTAGAAGCTGAACTGCTAAGTTGTGAAATATGATTGCTAAATGGATCTGATACTTGATTCATAAATGGCATTGTCTGAAATCAATCGAACAAAATGAAATATTAAAATAATGCCGATACATTCTTTTGCAATAAAAGTTAATTAAAAAATGTTCTATTTACCGATTCCATTGAATCTTGATGAGAGAATCTAGACCCAGTAAGAAAACCAGTTGAATGCAAATGTTGGAGTGGACTGGATGTCGATGGTGAAAAATTAGAAAGAACGGAACGTTCTGCCATTCCAGGAATATTGACTGGTGCTGAGCTTCCTAATAGTCCGGAACTTGCTAGGCCTGCTGATATTGAATTGCTAATTGGTGAATTAGTATCCCTATGAATTGATTCTACTAAATTTAGAGGATCATCTAGATGTAACTCGTCTAATGCATTTCCTACAAAATACAACAACAATTAAGGATAATATATTCACGGAACATAAGAACCGCCTTTTTCTCTATTTGTTCGCTGGGCACTTTACAACTTACCTACTACAGATTCCACAGTGTCATTTGGATAAAACGAACTTGAAAGTGGTGAGACGGTGGTAGTTGTTAATGAATGACTTCCTAAGGTCCCATTCAAACTATAAGCAATGTATAGGCTTTGTTTCTGCTGAGCTTTCTCAGCTTTTGTTAACAAAGGATCACTGTCAATAGCAACCATTTGTTTTCGTATTTCACCCTGTTTAATATTCTTAGAGTTATTGCTAGACCTTTATTGAATGTACAGATACATTCAGGAATCAAATGGTCAAACTTACAACTTGTAAGAGGGAATTGGGATTATAAAGTATGCTGGTTAACTTCTGTTGAGTGGAAGTGTTTACAGTGCTATTGGAATTGGAGTTATGAAGTTGAGCACCAGGGGCTTTACTGTGTGAACTGTTGCTGCCAACGCTACTAGTGCTTGCTGATTCTGATACTTCGCCGCTTCCGTTCTATAATTTAAAAATTTGATAACATTAGGTAATTAAGTTTTCCTGATGAAGGAGGTTGATTTATTTAAAGATATGTAGTTTATAGACTTACACTACTATCACTAAGTGGTTTATCTTTCTCATGAGTGCGCTTATCAGGTGGAAGCGCATTGCTCAGAATATCGGCCAGATTAGTGCCACAATCTATAGGTACCGCCATGTCCCTCGCCAGACTCATTTCTTCTGTTGGCAACACTGCTCCATCAGCACACCATACCAACGTCCCAATATATCAATTTTGAGAAGCAATTTTGAATTCTAAATTTATCACTTACAAAATGCCTACTTTTGCCAGATACAGAGATCTCAAATGCAAATAAAATGTCAAACTGCTTTAATGTAAAAGCAATACAAGCACTCTTGTACGTTAGTAACTCAAAGTTTGCATTATTTGAATTTATTGTAATGAGTTGAAAACTAACTAAGCGATTAAATATTGCAAATAAAGCCAACAAAATAAAAAAAAAAAATAAAAAAAAGTGAAAACCTATTAAACTTACTAAGGTAGTAGTAACTGTTTTACGTACGATTTATGAGGGTACACTCACGGTCAACATGTGCAAAAGCACAGAAGACTCCGCGCGGACAATATCCAGCTTGCTGAACATCATTGCACTTTGTAGATTTATATATCTCAGGATGGAACTGTTGCTCTGTACGTGTATGACAATATGTACAAGCATCACCTTGTTCACAGTTGCCTGGTTCACCCCATTCTTCTCCATGTTTTACATTAGGACAAGGTGTTGATCTGAAATATGTGAAACTTCAAGGTAGAGACCAAGTTTCTTTCGAATTATTCTCAAACAAATTATGAGCAATTACTCACCTGTACTTGTACTTGCGTGGACTACGCCTCTTATCTTTACTATTGTGATACTGTGGACAAGCATATCCCTGACGACAGAGTCTTGGTGGACGTTTGCAGGGTTCTGTCTTATAGTTACTGAGTACATAATTTGTATCCTGCCATTTTGGATCTTCATTCATCAAATTCCGTTCTTTATCAAGTATGTTTGGTCCATTAGATGAAGAATTAGGATCAGAATCAGGGTTTTCCAGTGCTTGTATTTCTTTAATGTCATAGACAGGTGGACGAAGGTCATGATTGCCATGTGCAAAGGCACAGTGAGGTCCATTCTTAACACAGAATCCACGTGTGTCTGTATCATGGACACACATGCAAGTTTTGTAGTAACGTAGATGGTACCGTCTTTCTGTATCGCCCGCAGTGCGATGTAGGAATGGGCAGCTGTTTAACACAAAAAAAAAAAATACATGTTAATTACTTCAAACTCATCATCATAATGTATACAGACTTAACAATAAAAGAAATAAAACTTAAAGAAAAAAATGCTATATGTTATTGAATGCAATTAAAGCAGTTTCTTTAATCATATATACACATATATTATTTTATAAATAAAATTTAAAATATGTAAAATATATATTAAAGTAGTAAATGTGTGTAACTTAATATAATATATATATTGTACAAATAAATTAATCATAAAATTCAGATGAACTCAATTTTATACTATTACTTATGAATTAGTAAAAGACGTTTAATATCGCTAAGTTTTATAAAAAATTGTATTATGACATGTAATCAATTATTCTATGCGTCATGTATAAATTGAATTCAATAGCATTTGCATATTTCAAGAAATTGATTCTTCTGACAAGCAACGAAACTTCATGCTATACATGTGTTCGTGTTTTATGCGAATTATTGATCTTTTAAAATCACAACTTAGATTAGAACAGAATGCATCATAGTATCGCAAAAAAGGAAAAAAAAAACAATAAAAATTTACAATCTCTGTCAGAAAAAAAAATAGAACCCTGGACCGATAGTTTCCTACGCGATAATTGTGCCATAATAGTTTCGATGCTTTCTACAGTACAGCAACAAGGATGCCACATATAATTCTTTGTTGCCACCATGTCACGTAAGAGAAAATCAATATCAGTAGGCTCCTTTGTTTGGGAAGTCGAGCCACTGGATATTTTGGAGGGAAAACCGATCGAGAGTATTTCCATCTATACATTATGAAAAGTGCTCACACGTCTGTTCTTTAACAAAGATACCTTTTTAATAATCTCCAAACATTTAGAGAAATACGAAAATACAAACGTATGGATCACATAAAAATTTTAAAAGTGCAATGTGTTAAATGACGAAAAGATTTTTAAAAATCAATCAATTGTATCTAATTTATTTACTTCGAATTTCCTTTTCTCACATAAAAATCATGTTTGTGATAAAAATAGAATAACAAGTAATTACAGCGAGCGTTATCGTTATACTGGATATGTAAAAAAAGAATGATGAAAACTAAGAAAAAAGCAAACTATGGTATCAACGCTGAGTGAAAGTGAAGTATCGAATGTTCAAAGCACACTTATCGCAATAAATAATGCCATAAACGTATACACGTGCGAATATCAATTATTAATTAAGAGAACGTTTAAAATATTTTGTTAATTTACATGTAACTTTCAACGAATAAAAAAAATATATTTCACTCGTAAATAAATAAATTTAACTGTATCTTTCTTAATATTTTTTACTGTATACTTTGTTTATATTTCCATTTAAAAATCGGCAAAACTTTTAAATCGATTTTATTCTTACGTATACTGTACACAAGACTATGTTATACGTAAGTGCAGGATAATGAAAAAAACATTTATGCACAAGGCTCAAACATACAGAATTATACTTCGTGAGTTGGTAGCGATTGCAGTCAAAACTTTTTCATTCATCTAATCTCGCTAGCAATATCATAGAAAGTTGAACTGTAAAAATGGTTCATAAATATTCTCGACGTGATTCCGGTAAAATTGTTTAACAAGCTTTTACACTAAATGTTACGGTTAACGATTCCTCAACAGCGTTAAAAGAAACTGTTTTCATTTGTTTTCATTAACAGATAATAGGTTTAATGTTTCTTGCTGATAATTCCCATAATTCTATTCGTTTTTCTTGAACGCTTATTGACGCGCGGTACCTTTGCATTTCTCGTTGATTTATTTCATAAGAAATAACATATTAACATATAACAATATTTTCTTTTTCTCAAAATAATTCGAAAATTAATAAGTCGCACGTTAATCCCTCTTAACGAGGAATTAGTAACACGATAAATTAAAAGCGGTGACCTAAATTCTCTATCATATCCTGCACGAATATTTACAACGAAATAAATTCGTGTCAATAACCTCAACATTACATAAATACGTTCGTTTCCCTTTTATTTCACGTTTTAAATCTCCAATAGATAATGATCACTCTTGTGGATTCAGTATGTTTAATAGAAAGCTCGCTGATACGTTTTAAAATTCCTACGGAATATTTTTTGTTACGAGAACATAACGACGATCTGTAATGGAGGAAACGAAATCACCTCGAATAAAACATGGCCACCGAAGAAATCGTAGCTACGTTCGAAGGAATAGAGAAATTCTGCCTAGCTACGTCGGAGTTATCTACAATGGATGACAACAGGTTAGCAGCCGACGGTAGCTATATTCTACCGCGAGCAATGGCGGTTGTGAACGTGCAAGCATAACTGGCAACAAGAAAACGTTTTGTGACGTTATAATATATGTTTCGATTAGACCGAATTAATGCAAAAAATATATTAAACTCGAAAATAATGGCTCGATCAAGTCGAAAGAAAACACTTCTCTTCGATGCAACCGACGTAACCTTTGATTTTATTTCTTTCTTCACGCTTGCAGAATTTAGGTCAAATTCTCGCAGTGAGAAGATTCACGTATTCTATGTGATAATCAAGTTCGTATAACCTAAAAATAGCATCTAAAACATCTCGTTACAAGTTACATCGAATGTTGACGATAAATAAATACATTAACATAATGAATGAAAATTAGAATGTACGTATTTAGGGATCGATAATAATGGTAGAAAGCATAGAAAACATCGAAGCGGGGATCAGCGAAAAAAAATACAGAATCGTCTATTTGTATATGTATATGTACATATGATATAAAATAAAAAATGAAAAAGAAAATATAAACTATATGTCATCGTGTAGCCAGGTTTAGTTCAACTTATGAATATGCGAAAGATTGCAAAGAATTATGCAAGAGCCGAGACGGTATTTTATATGGGTGGTCGAACTATTTGGAATGTTTACAAGTCATATTATTTCTGGAAACAAAGCGCGCTAATTTTCTCTCTTTTTCTTTCTTTAGCTCTGCTCGGTAACATAAGGCTATTCATTAAAAGCATCTGTTTTAACATGTTTGTATGTGTATGTTATGTACATTAATTTTTCACTGCTCGTGTAGCCGTGTGTCCTATGCAACACGAACGATGTTTATGCAGCATGGATAAAAAATTTAATTAAAAAAATGTATATATATATTAATAAATACGAAAAAAAAATTGTCATAAAATGTACGTAAATAGGTGAAACTATTATGGCTGCATTTACTACACGTCCATGCTGGTTTCCCGTTGTATACAAATCCGACATGCAAGAGCGCAGCAATGTTTCGATTACTTTTGTCCAGAACACATATATAACATAAATGCAAGCGTGTCCTCGAAAGTTACGTCGAAATTGGCCTCCTCTTCGTTACATAGGTTATTCTCGAAGAGACGTTACGTCGTTACGCGTTACCACGCAGATGCGTGTTACATGTTACAACACACGCGTGTCAACGACACAAAGAAATACGATAGACCCCACCGTTTTTGTCTCGAATACACATCGATTTCCGACCAATCTCTCCAGAGAACCGTTTTCATTCATGCTGGAAACTTATTTACGCACTCGCAGTTTCTCAAAATACGCGTTAACGCTTTATAAGCAGAATAATTCTCTAATCCGCTTATACGCATATATATATATACGTACATGTACGTATAGCATACGCGTCGAGTAGTAGTAGTAGGAAACAAAAAATCGGGTAACCACGAGCGAGACAAGGAACACAGTACAAAGTTTTTAAGAGGGAAAGGCAGGACATTAACAGAGAATTTTAATACCGTCGGCGTCGTCGTCGTCGTCGTCGTCGTCGGTAACCGCGACATGAGAAATCGATGCATCTGACATGAGAACAATATCACCATCGCGGGACACTCTTCTAGCGGACGTATCCGTCGCGCGAGAGAGAAATCTTGCACGAGGCTTCTAACGATAAATAAACTTACTCGTCTCCATCTGGACATATGCCGGTGGTCTCATCGTACTTGGTACAATAATTGTCGGCGCTATAGCTGAAGGTGCGGTCCCTCTTTCTCACCGGTCTGCGCCTCCGCTGGTTCATAAAGTGCCAGTTGAAGCACGTGAAGGGTCGGTGCTGTGTGCATTTGCGCTGTATAAAGAGGGGACATTGTTCGACGCGAAATTCCTTCAAGTATCTGGAATGCGAATCCACAGAGCTACACATTATTTCGTGGCGTTTTTTTGACGCGCGCGTCGATGCCGCGCTGCTCGCGGCCCTCCCTCTTTTTTCCGTTCTCTTTCTCTCTCTTATTTTTTGCTCTTTATTATTTATTTATTTATTCATTTACGTATGGACATAGGCATGTATTATCTTTTTTTATTATTAGTATTATTATTATGCGATTCTCTTTTTTAAGCACTCCACTTTTGAATCACGCACTTTCCGGCCTCTGATTTTTTTCTCTCACTTTTTTTCTCTCACGTAGCACGCGACCGGCCCGGCGGGCGCTTACTTACGTGTAATGATTCGCCTTTTCCGCCTGAGCTGTCAACAAAGGTTTAGAGTCGGACTTCATCTTGGACAACACAACCGAGGCTACGCGCGCGCACACACACGGACGTACGGGCGAACGGCACTCTCTCTCGTCTTTTCTCGTCGTCCTCGTCGTCGTCGTCGTAACCCCTCGCCGTAGTCTGTCTTTCGCCCCCTTTTCCCCCGCTAAACCTCTACCATCCTATCGGGCACGGAATGCGGGACATAGGGCGCGCACGGCGCAATACACATTATATGCGCCTCGGCTATCCAATCCTTGTACTCTCTTGCGGTCACGTGACTGTTCCTCTTTCAAGGTCATTAATGTTTTGGTTCGCTCATACTATAAACACACGCTTGTACGAATGCCGGTGTTACAATTAAAAATTAATGAATAATTCTTCTATCAGCCATAGTCCTTTTTCCTTCGGTAAAGAAATGTTCACTGGAAACTTTAATCTTCGATGAGGGGAAAAGGGAAGGACATCTAAAATGCAACGATCGATTCCTGACGCTCGACCTCGATCGAGTTCCGATTCTGTGCTACGTTCTCGTCGAAGCTGCTGACCCGGCAACGTGTAACTGCGCCTTCTACAAAAACCGACTGTTTTTCTGATTTTTGATATTCTTTATCAATAAATATATTAATTATGCGTATACTTTATTTGTGGTTTCATATTGTGCTTGAATTAGCAGGTGCAATGAGAATCATTTGTTTTTCAGCTCTTTTCAGGCTCTTAATATTCGATTATTTTTATATGCATACTGTCATAAATTTTCGAGTATAATTTAACGAATCTTTCCTTCTCGTATACAATGTCTTTATACTGATATTCAAACGTATTTCACGTTAATATTGTATTTCATGAATAATGTGCATTGTCCAATGAAGTCCTTAATACAGTATCGAGTATTATAATTTATCGATAAATACGTCTTTTAATTCATGTTATGTTGTACAATATAAAATCATAAATGCTATACGTGAAAATGTTGGCCTATTTATTTTTTCCATTTTATCGCTGACTAATGATTATATAGACTCAATGAAACGATTTGATGTCGTTCACTCTCACTTTCACTTCGACACCATACTAATTTCAAACTATATTACTTCTTTGGTCACTGCTCTTACGCATTTCACAACTTGCTTTTCTTAACACAATCTTACTTGTACATCACAGGCACGTTTACTCGTCGTTAACGTAAATCGTTATCGTAAAATGTTACGCGTATGAATCATCTCTTATCACTTATTTACAGCGATTCCGATGCATATTTAGATACCTGTGTTGAGTACGGTCAGCTTCGTCAGTTTTTCTTCGATGACGATCGTCGAAACTTGTCCGACCACGTTTCGTGATTTGTAAACCGCGATGTGCAACGTTTAACATCACCTTTGTTGCGCACGAGCGAATTCGCTTACTTTTCCCCTCCCACTTGAATAAAACGCATTAGAATCCGTATCTTATTACGAACGAAATTTTACATCTGTTTAAATACGAATTTTACCAAATCGATTAAACTTATCAAATAAATTTTCACATTTCTAATTTTATTTGAAGAAAACTCATAAAATTTACAATTTTTACTTAAACGAAATACACGAAGTAATGCCACTTCTTGGAGCATGCGCAATTACGCGAATGCTGAGAACGAAGTATTGAACTTCAACCAATCAGAATGAAAATACGCAACAAATTTTATCCAGAAGAATACGAGGAATTTGTAATGTTCCATCATATGCGTTCATAGTTTTGTTGTTTTTTTTTTTTTTCCAGTAAAACAGCATGATGAAGAGAATATAACATTATCAATAAGGATTAGTTTTTTGTAAATCGTACGATTACGAAATATGCTAATAGTTTTCTAGAATAAACAGGAAAAAATATATTAACTCGTTAATTAATTAATCTTCTCTATTTCCTTATCCTTTCTTATCCATACATTTAATACGGTGCTGCATGGATATATCACAATACGTCAATTTCATAACGTTGAATTTTTTTTCGATGTATGTATTCTTATTCTTTTAATTATTTTTGTTATACATTTAATGAGGATATATGGGTTAAAAATATAAGCATTGTTTCATCACACTTACGTTTAATGTATACAAAAACGTAAAGAAATACGATAATATTAAGAAGAAACATACATACAATGATGTAAAGTGTGTGCAGTTAGAAAGAAATTTTAATGTTGTAATAATAATATAAATAATTGTCGATGGTAAAAAAGAATTGTTATAAGAAAAATTTCTTAATAAATTCTCAAAGAATGTTACTAATATGTTACATTATGCATGATATACGCAATGAGAGTTTTGTACAGTTTTATATCTTAATAGGAGTTACTAAAATTGAAACATACCAAAGGAAAGATAGTATGATGATTATAAATAGTTGATATTTAGAACTATAATCCACCTACATGCAGTTTAAATTTCTATGTAAATTTATAACTAGTTACCATTTCAAGTTTTGTTATTGGTTCCAATAATATTGCAAATGTATATTTTACTTTATCATTTATAACTTATTTGACTTTGTACAATTATATTCTGGTCTACTACATATTTAAATAAAGTCTTGTAGTCTACTAACATACTTAGACACAAACTAAATGTGAACCATTTGTTAGACTGATAAAAATATAATGCCTTTACAGTATATGAAAATAATACACATTTGGTTTGTACGTATGCATGTTTGATTAATGC